GTAACAAGGGATTGAACATAGATGAACAAGCTCGAGCATACAACACAGGCCAATTATCCCAGTCCCAATAACTTTTCGTAACAAGGGACGGGTCATCGACAAGCACGTATTTCAATCTCAACCCATAGATTATTCAGCTACGAAATCATCTATCTCATGCGAGCCTAGGTCTACGACTTCTCCTCTTTCGGTTCTAAAAGCCGCTAATTCAATTAGAAGGTGTTTAATCAACTAATCATATGGAATCAACAAATCCTAACTCGACAAATCGATATTCAATCGTTACCAATTGCAAGATCGAAGTGTCACCCTTCGATTATATCAAACTATCAAGCGCAAATTCATCAATTCCTAATCAATTCAACTCACATAAGCATGAACCAACTTGAGCCCGACAAATGCACGTTAAACAAGAATAATCATTCCCTATCCCTAGCTATCAGATTTAGCTACGAATATCAAATTCAACAATCATAATCATTCCTCTCAAATAACCATTATTCATGAATCAAATAAGAGAAGTGAGTACTTACAATCAATCCAAGTTCCCAAGTTGAATTCGAAATACAAGCTTAATCCTTAGATGTAGAGAGGAAGAAGAAAAATGGAAAATAAAGGTGTAAAGAAAAGGAAAAACGAAGAAGAAGAAGCAGAGAAAGGAGTTATGTCGTGGAGTTATCGAGCTTAGGGTTTTTACTCCCAGGCGGGGAGATTAATTCTGTCGAAATCCCGATGCAAATATATATAGGAGCAGGTCTTCACGGCGTGAGAAATAGTGACACGGCGTGGAGCATCCATGTGGCGCGGCACGGCAGGGGTAGCACGGTGTGGCGCGCGAAGCAGCATTCTCTGAAGGCCCGTGGAGTGCTTAACGCCGTGGAGAAAGTGTGTGGCGCGGCGTGGGGCTGTTTCGCGCCGTGGAGGGGGTCAGTGCCGCGCCGCTGAGGGTTGCCGAGCCGCGGCGCGCGGGGCTGCTGGCTCGACTGCGCGACTTTTGCGTTTTGGGCTCGTTTGGGCTCGTCCGAACACGGAATTGAGTTCCGTTTTTTCCTACGCGTCGCTAACGGACCCCTCTATTCAATGATGCTTTCTTGACCAGATTTTTCGAATAGTACAAATCCTCTAGAGTTTTCCAACCTTCAAATAGTCGGCAGCTTGCTGGACTTTACGTATCGGCCCCGTTCGGATTCGTCTGAACTCGGAATTGAGTTCCGCTTTTTCCTACTTGTAGCCAACGAACCCATCTATCTAACCATGATTTCCCAGCCCGTTTTCAAGCTAAACGTATTCCTCACGGGCTTTTGACCTGCACACCAAAAACAAGAAAAACTGGAAAAACATACGGAAAACACAAGAAAAACCAAGATAGAGGAAAACACGCAATAAACTACAAAACGAGATAAAAACTAACTAAAAAAACTAATATGGGGGAAAAAGAAAGGAAAATAACAAGGAAAAAATGCAACAAGAATGGGTGTACAAATTGTTATATTTTACCGAGTACCGAATCAAGGATTCGTTTCCCGGGTCGATCTCTCGAGGAAGGCGGTTCAGAACCTAGCTTTGGTATCAATCACACATAAAAAGAAAATAAATCCTACACACTCTAATCAGATAAGGATTGAATAATTACCAGCTAAGAAATAATATAAAACAATAATATACCTAAAAATATAAACGAAACAAAGATGGAGAAGCTAGGGAGTCGGGGATAATTAATTCAAGTTCTAGCAAAGCCGGGCAGGCAATTGTTCGGTTCGAGATTGACACTCTCGCTTAAACATCTAGCGGTTCGCTTCCAATAACTTTTCGTAACAAGGGATTGAACATAGATGAACAAGCTCGAGCATACAACACAGGCCAATTATCCCAGTCCCAATAACTTTTCGTAACAAGGGACGGGTCATCGACAAGCACGTATTTCAATCTCAACCCATAGATTATTCAGCTACGAAATCATCTATCTCATGCGAGCCTAGGTCTACGACTTCTCCTCTTTCGGTTCTAAAAGCCGCTAATTCAATTAGAAGGTGTTTAATCAACTAATCATATGGAATCAACAAATCCTAACTCGACAAATCGATATTCAATCGTTACCAATTGCAAGATCGAAGTGTCACCCTTCGATTATATCAAACTATCAAGCACAAATTCATCAATTCCTAATCAATTCAACTCACATAAGCATGACCAATCTTGAGCCCGACAAATGCACGTTAAACAAGAATAATCATCCCCTATCCCTAGCAATCAGACTTAGCTACGAATATCAAATTCAACAATCATAATCATTCCTCTCAGATAACCATTATTCATGAATCAAATAAGAGAAGTGAGTACTTACAATCAATCCAAGTTCCAAAGTTGAATTTGAAATACAAGCTTAATCCTTAGATGTAGAGAAGAAGAAGAAAAATGAAAAATAAAGGTGTAAAGAAAAGGAAAAACGAAGAAGAAGAAGCAGAGAAAGGAGTTCTGTCGTGGAGTTATCGGGCCTAGGGTTTTTACTCCCCAGGAGGGAGAGAATGATTTTTTTGATCGAGTCCCGCACATATTTATACAAGTCACGGATCACGGCGTGGGAGAAACTCAGCGCGGCGTGGAGGAAGAAGGTGTCGCGGCGTGGAGGGGTCTCGCGGCGTGGCGGGGAGCAGATGCGTGAGTCTCTGTACGCCCGTGTAGGGCTTCACGCCGTGGAGGAAGGCCTTGTCGCGCCGCGGAGGAGTTGCCGCGCCGCGGAGGGGGCCAGTGTCGCGCCGCTGAGGGTTGCCGCGCCGCGGCGCGCGGGGCTGCTGGCTCGGCTGCGCGACTTTTGCGTTTTGGGCTCGTCCGAACTCGTAATTGAGTTCCGTTTTTTCCTACGCGTCGCTAACGGACTCCTCTATTCAATGATTCTTTCTTGACCAGATTTTGCCAATAGTACAAATCTTATAGAGTTTTCCAACCTTCAAACAGTCGGCAGCTTGCTGGACTTTACGTTTCGGCCCCGTTCGGATTCGTCTGAACTCGGAATTGAGTTCCGCTTTTTCCTACTTGTAGCTAACGAACCCATATATCTAACCAATATTTCCCAGCCCGTTTTCAAGCTAAACTTATTCCTCACGGGCTTTTGACCTGCACACCAAAAACAAGAAAAACCGAAAAAACATACGGAAAACACAAGAAAAACCAAGATAGAGGAAAACACGCAATAAACTACAAAACGAGATAAAAACTAACTAAAAAAACTAATATGGGGGAAAAAGAAAGGAAAATAACAAGGAAAAAATGCAACAAAAATGGGACAAACAGTATCCACCATAATTTGGTGGACAGGTATACCGCATATTGGAGCAGTAATGAAAAGGGGATCAGAGTGAGGGTGCACAAAATAGTTAGCATGTTCAACATTAAAAGTGATAGGGCAGTTATTTCGAGCGTTAATTTTATCTGGGCAGTTATTTCGAGCGTCGATTTTATCTATGAGATTAGTCCTTAACACAGTTTTACCCGAGTTGTATGCTTATCGGGCATAAGTTTTTGCTTGCCGACGTGAACTAGTCGGCCTTCCATCATTATTGTTGATACGTGGAATGTGATCGTGGGAAGAAAAGATTGGGGAATTACTTCTTTTTGTGTTTCTAGTGTCTGTTGAAGATGAGGCTCCATTAGTGTCCGAGGTAAATGTGAAGACTTCTTTGTCCCCCTGTCTTATTCTTTTTGGGTTCACAGGTCTATCATTGTCTTCTTCATCATCAGGGAACTCTTGTAGCCTTCCTTTGTGTTTGAAGTTGGGACCTCTGGGAAAACGTTGGACTTGAGGATGTCCAATCAGCAAAAGAGCGGAAAGTAGGATTAAACATTCGTCAGTGTTATGTCCAGCCGACTTGTGATATGAGCAATATTTTGACTTGTCAATTCGGTCTTCGGGGGTTCTCACAGGTCTCGGTTCTAGAATGATTCCCTTTCCTATCAATTCCTCGAAGATAGTGGCAGCTCCAGCCGAGTATATTGTCTGGTAACTCGACCTTATATCATTGACATACTTAACTTTAGCTGCTTTTGACTCGGGATCATTTAAGTTTCCCTTCGAGGATCCTCCGAACTGGGATTTATTTGGTTTATTGCCAAAAAATTTGTTCTTCTTCTTCTTTGCTTCTTGTCATGACTTCGGCTCCTTGGGAGAAAAGTCAAAGTTAGGAACCGACATTGACTCTTCGGCGATGATATGTTGTTGAGCCCGAGCAAGGAATACTTGAAATGTGTTTGTTTTATTTTGGCATAAGGTCCAACGAAATAAAGAGTTTGGCTTTAAACTAGCGATGGCAGCAACTAGCAACGTCTCCGGATGACATTGCTCCATATTATAGACGCGTTCATTGAATCGGGATATATAGTCTTTAACACTTTCGTCTTCCTTTTGTACAATGTTAGCAATTGATTCTTTAGAGATCAGACATACATGGGCCCCGATAAAGTGACATCGGAACGCCGACCTCAATTGTTGCCACTTCTAGATAGAATGGGGAGGTAAAGAGTGATACCATTTTTGGGCTCGAGGTCCTAAAGTTAAAGAAAACATGCGGCACCTCAATGCATCTGTAGCCCCGTGGAGATCCATCCATGAGGTATATTGACCGAGGTGCGCATCTGGATCCGAGGTCCCATCATAGAGACCGATTTGCGGCACTTTGAATTTTCCCGACAATGGTTCCATAGTAAGTTGAGAGGCCAAAGGAGATTCTGCTTCTAAATAAACATTATCCTAGGTGGAGGCTCTTCGTGGGGATTCTTCTTGGATTCTTTGCCGAGTTTCTAACTCGGTAATTCTCTTGCGAAGGATTTCTAATTCAACCGACTCGTGCCTGGAACGATTTCTCTCTATGGTCTGGCACAAGTCGGTATGCCTGTCTGGCTATGGTGTCGCCGGTTGCGGGGTACTGGAGATTGTTGATAATGTCCAGAATGACTTTTCGCAGTTATCTCCAGTGGATTTATCTCTAGCGGATTGTTAACAACAGGAATATCGCCATGACCTTGAGCAGCTACTTCTTCTCTTTGCAGTGGTGGATTTCTCGGCTGTGAGGTTGCGTGCGAAGCAACTGCATGCATATGATGTTCTTGAACCAGCGGCGTTGGTTGCCTTATTGGATTATTAGGGGCTGTAGCTTGACCACGAACAGGAACAGACGTTCCTGGCCTTGTTTGAGCCATGAAATCAGAAAGATTCTTTACAAACTCTTGGTCTTGAAACCGAACAGAGTAATCGAGAGTCATGGGTGGCACAGTCGTTCTTTCAGTAGATTGAGCTGGATGACGACTAGTTCCTGTTTCTGGGATTCTTTCTTGACGTCCAGAATTCGGCATGATGATTGTTTGATTGATATATTAAGAAATATGGGCGAAGGTATGTGATTTGTGTATAGGACATCAATGATTAACCTCAAATAACTTATGAACCCTCCTTTTAGCTCCAACCTGTTGTTGTATGAAATTTAACAACGATATTAAACGATAGCAAAGTGTAATTAAAGCAAAAACGATGTTAATTTTATATTATTGCTGTCTTTTAGTTGAGTACAGGAAGTCGGTTTTTGTGTATAACCGAGTTGTTTTTGCATGTGCGTGTACAATGTGCCAAAAAAAAAAAAAAATCCCCGTACAATAATAAATTCTGCTAGTTATAGTACGATGCCTTTGATTTTTCGTACGAGATAGATTAGATCACATTTAATGTTGAACAGCTTCATTACAGCGGTCTGTCGGGCAATAGGGAGACAGAAATGATTACAAATGTAATACGTGGCCCAATCAGGTATGTGCCTTGTCACCTACTTTGGGATCCAGCTACCTCAGACCTCGGTTTGTGTGGATAATCTTCAGGAAGGAATCTTTGAGAAGTCGGTTTTTGTCTTTTGTGCGAGGTCGGTTTAATCTTATGTGCAAGGTCGGTTCGTCGGCTAACTTTATACCGAGTTGAGCTAAATCTGTTGTAGGAATTGAGTTGGAAGAAATGTTGAGGATAATACCAATAAATCCTCCCTTTAATCTTGGAAAATCAGGTCGGTTGTCAATATTACTCTTATTGCCATATTTGTTTTTAGTATTTTACAATAATAAAATAAAAATGAAGATTTTTTTAAACTTGTTTTGCCATTTTGTAAAAAGAAGGACCAAATAACGAAATGAAAAGTTGAAATGCAAAATTTAAGTACAGATGCAAATTTGTGTTTATTTGAAGAGAGATAAGGGGAAGAACGGATTTTGTGATCCATTTGGTTGCTCGTTTGGAGTAATTTCTCCTGCAAATTTTGCATTTTACATGTCAATTGGAGAAGGTCTAAGTACATCCTTTCCTGCCAAGCGGAAAAAGCAAAACGCAAATGGGAATCTTCGATCTAGTACTATTTGTATTGTAATTAGAATATAACATACATTAAAACTATGAAATCAAACGGATTTGGATTTCTAGGTTCAGAGTAATCAAAGAATGATCCCATCTCTCGAGTAAAAGAAAAAAAACTATTCACCGCGTCACAAATCTAAAAAACTATTCCACTGCCCATTTTCTGATTCAATAAAGTTCTATGTTTAGTTGCTCTGCATTTAGATAATGGTTCATCACGGATGGACAAAAGATCATTTATCGGTTATTTGCGAAACATAAATATTTGATTCACAACCTAGATGAAAATTGGAAAGGCCATTATAGTGTGAGCGGTACAGTCAGTCTTAATTGATTAGTCACACTAATACATATTGGTGAGCAGTTCGTTTTAAATTGATCGTTGTAAATGAACTAAGCCTTGGCTATTTACTGTGTTCTCTTAACCTGTAAGATGTTAACAAACACAGGTATGTAGTAAGTACTGCTTTGATTCAACAAGTTGAGGTTTATTGATATGGACCAATAACTGTCTGAATTGGGTAGTGATTCCTACATGACATGGTGTTGTGTTATAATATTTACGGTCACAAAGTTGAGGTTTGATGATGTCCTTGAAGTGAGTTCAGAAGTATTATTATGTTAAACCATGCAAGTGGATTAAGGTATTGTTGGGATCTATAAGGATCTCGTTATGTACAAGTCACGAATTCAATAGCAAATGTATACCTATGCGCAACGGATCTAAAGGTTTGACGTAGAAAACTTACGGATTAAAATTTTCTGAATCTGACGGATTCAGGATGACAGGGAACAGCATGTCACAGGATTGTTGGGATCACGAACAGATGGCGGGGATGGCAGCTATGAGTTGCGCTGGTCGCCGGTTGGATTGCGGGTTGCCGTCGTCGGGCTTGGCTCGTCGCGGCTGTCGTCCGGCGGGCAAGGGACAGCGGGTCGTGGCTCGTCGGCTCCGGTAGATATTCGCGATGTCTCAGTTACCTTCGGGATCTCCTACTGTATTACTCGAACACCTCTTCAACTCATACCGGTAGAGCAACGAGAAGAAGATAGAGGGGGGCGTGCTTGTGATATACACGTTTCGACTCTTCTGTTCTCTTCTCATGAGCTTAATGATGTATATATAGAGCTACCGTAGGGATCCTTATGGGAATAGGATTAGGGCTTCTTAAGTAATGGACTAACTGTGGGCCAGGCCCACTCCTCCAATTACTTAAATAATATTATGGTCCACTAACGTAATATTATTGCACTCCCTTTTTTAAACCCAAATTATATTCGAGACTCCAATATTAATTACCCGAATTACCTCCCAATGTGTAAGATATAATGTCCATTAATTAATTCGATTACTGACAATCAAGAATTAATTAATATATTATATTACCAAAGCTAGCGCTCGTTCATCACTGACGATCATGAGTAGCTAAATCCATTTGCTAGGGAATAGGGGATTAATCTTTTGGATTCGTTTGTGATTGTAGGGATTTATTGATCGGTCTATTTGTACAAGTTGTTCTTCAAAAGGATTTTTCAAATATTACGCTTGAATATTGAGAATTGTTGAAGGGTGACACTTCAATTTTCAATTTATGATTGAATTCCATTTATTCTCGCATGATGTTGGTTATTCTTATTGATTAGTCGGTTAACAACCCTCTAGTCTAATTTAATCGACTCTTAGAACCGAAAGGGGAGGAGTTGATCGAAATAGGCTCGTATAAACTAGGCTTGTTCGTAACTGTATTGCCTAGGTGTTAAATGAATCGTTAATTTGTCGTTCACGTATGTCCTCTTGTTATGAAAAGTTATTGGGGACGAATTTCTGAACGAGTAGGTTACTCGAATCATTTAGCCGAATGATCATTTGCCCGATGATTGCAATTCGAACCAAAACGGATATCCCCGACTCCCTAGCTTCTTAAATCCTGCTTGTTTTACGTCGTTGATTGCTATTTCGATTTGCTTTGCTTGAATTTTAGGAGTTGATAATTAAAAATCAGAACCAATCTTGGAATTAGAATGTTTAGGAATTGTATTTCTCTTTTTGTGATTGAATAAACGCGCATAATAATCCGACTGACCTTCCTCGAGAGACAAGACCCGGTGTTCGAATCTTTTGATTCTACTCTGGTAAAAATATTTACAACAAATTGGCGCCGTTGCCGGGGAAGGTTTAGGAAGTATTTTGTGTGCTTATTCACTTTGTTTTCCATTTTTCTCTTAGTTTTTGTGTTTTTATTTTTATTTTTATTTTTTCCGTGTTTTTTGTTTTATTTTCTCTTAATTACCGTTGGTGCTCGTAACCTGTTTGTTGTTTGAGTGTATGCATACCAGGAGTGGATGCACACTAGCACCGAAAGACAAAACCAGTCCTGAGAATTTGAGGGAGGTTTTCGACAAGCTTAGTCTCGAGTCGTCTGAAGAAAGCAAACCAGAGATGGCTCAACAACCTCCCCGTGATCTCCTCCGAGACCTGGCCCAACCCATGATCGGGCCAATCACTTCTTGGATCCGGTTGGGGCAAGATGCCCGAAACTATGAGTTGAAGATGGTCCATTACAATCAGCTCCCATCATTCCACACGCTCCCCAACGAAGACCCACTCCATTTTATCCGAGAATTTTACAATGTCCTCCAGACGTTCCCTCTGCATGGGCTAACCGAGGACCAGCTGAAGATGCGGTGCTTCCCAGAGACTCTGAAGGACCGGGACAAGGCTTGGTTCATGACCCTCACACCGGATTCTCTCACAACTTGGGCAGAAGTTTACACCAAATTCGTCGGGAAGTACTATTCCCATTAGAAGACCCAAGATATCTGGTCTCAAATTGTCTCTTTTGCTCAGATGCCTAATGAGCCTCTTCATGAGGCCTGGGAACGATTCAAGGACCTCCAACGGCAGTTCCCACATCATAACCTCTCAGCAGAGCTATTGGCAAATTGCTTCTACGACTCCCTCCACCAGAACTTGCAATACATGGTGGATAATGCAGTCGGAGGGGATATCGGGGCCAAAACAGCTGAAGAGATGATGGAGATTTACGAGACGATGAGAGCGAACTCGTCTCAGAAAATTGTCAGAGGGAAAAGATCCACAGTGAATGAGACTGGACCGAGCAACAATGTCATGGCCCAGCAGTTAGCGGAGCTCACGGAGCAGATGCGGCTAGTGAATGCTAGAGGGTCCTCATCGATCCAGACTATGGCCGTGAATGTTTGCGGCGCATGCGGAGTTCAGGGACACAGTTCTTAGGTGTGCCCATCGGCTATTGAGCCAAGCTACGGAGGACAGAATACCGAGGTGAACGCACTGCAGGGTTATCAGAACTGGCCTGGTAATGATCCGTACTCGAACACGTATAACCCTGGGTGACGCAACCACCCGAACTTGTCATGGGCCAACAACCACTATCAACAGCCGCCTCAAACCAACTTTGTTCCCCTTCAACAGCAAAGGGGACAAATGATAAGGATGCCTCCGCCAGAAGCCAGACCGAACCCACCGAACATGGACGACAAGCTGGACAAGATTCTCAATTTCATCATGAATCAGGATGCTTCCATTAAGCATCTTGAGACACAAGTAGGCCATCTAGCCACACGAGTCAGGACCATCGAGACTGAATTGAATAAGTGGAAGTTGCCCAGTCAGCCGGAACACGCGAATGCGGTTACAGTGTTTATGCCCGAACCAGAGGACGAGGTAGATGCCAAAGAGGAGAAAGAAGTGAAAGCGGTCCCAAGGGATGAACAAAAAGTGGAGACCCAGGTGACACCGCCACCCGAGCTAACCTTTCACAAGTCCGCGAACCCATACAAGCCTAAGATTCCATTCCTGAGCCGACTTTTGGAGGAGAAAGACCGCAGGATGATTCGAGACCTGCATGAGATGTTGGCCAAGGCCAACGTCGATCTATACCCTCCCGACATGATCAAGAAGATACCGGCGTATGCGAGATTTTTCAAGGAATTAGCGGCAAATAAAAAGAGGCTCAAAAGTAGTGATGAGGTGCTCGTGTTTGAAGCGGAAAATGTCTTCCAGCATAACTTCCCGAAGAAGAAAAAAGACCCCGAAGGCTTTGTGATCACTTTAGCCTTCGGGAATGGGAGAGAGACCTCAGGGATGCTCGATTTAGGCCTAGGCATTAACCTCAAGCCACTCACAGTATATCACCGACTCGGGCTTGGCAATCTGAAGCCCACCAGGATGCGCTTATAGCTTGCAGATCGCTCATTCCGTCACCCAAAAGGGACTGTGGAGGATGTGCTCGTCCGAGTGGAGAAGGTGATAGTCCCTGTGGACGTTGTTGTTCTCGATGTGGGGAACATGCAAGACAATGGTAAGGAGCACGCCATCCTCCTCGGACGACCCTTCATGGTGACCACTATCACTGTTATTGATGTGAGGAAGGGGACGACGAGCATGATAGTGTTGGGCGAGTCATCCCCATTTCCGTTCGAGAGACCCAGCCTGAGCCGCAGGCAAATTCTATGGAAGAATGCATGTCCCTTAAGGTGATTGAGCAGCTCACTGAGGACGCGTGTATGAGAGAGTACACGAAGAGGCCACTGCAGGGCCATGCCCATGTCATGAAGGGATGCCACATAGACCGCCACACTGCCCTTCCCCAACCGAGTTCCATAGAGTTGCCCCGATCCCAATAGGGCGAGAGATTTGAGTTGTCAGACGCGCGCTGCTGTTCGGGGCCTGACTACCTCCATCCTCCACCCACACCACCGGATTCACAGTTACTGATCTAGTCACTGTGCCCTGTACGTTTGTACTTTTCCCCTTATTTTTTCGTTGTCGGTTAGTTTTTCTGTCTTTTGTGTTGGTTGATTATGTGGGTAAACGTTTCTTGCACTGATGATCGACAATGGGGACATTGTTCGGTTTTAAGTGTGGGGAAGTTTTTACATGATTATATGTCTATATGGTTGACTAGGTCTAGCTCTTCTAGGGTGTTTTCATTTTATGTTCTATTTGAGTGTCTTATCTTGAGTCAGTTTGTGTATTTTGCGAGTATGGATTATGGTGAATTTTAAGATTGGTTGATGATTGTTGATGATGTTGAGGAGATGTGATGATGATCATGACCAGT